TGATTTATTAACACCAGAAATCGAAGTCTATAATAATAACATGACACCTTAAACTGTGCTACAAAAAAAACAACAAATCAAACTGGACCAACCAGAAAACTCGAAAACTGTGGCCCAAAGACAAATTTCAATGTTCCAATGTAGGTCTTGAAGAATGTCACCCGCATCCTGGGTACCAGGTGTGGACTAGTCCACCAAAAGTACCAGGTGAACGCCAGAATAGTCCAAACTTTAGGTGAACCACGTGTTGAGCCACAGTGTAATCCTGCAACACTTTCTGTCCAGCCTGACGCCTCCACCCTCTACGTGTGTTCTGTTCCTTCTCTCTTCCCCAAAACGACCACTCCCCTTTCCTCCTCCGTCTCCCTCTGCCATGTTTTTCCACATTTTGGGAATGTCGATGTGCTACTTGTTGATACTGTGCATGAATGAAAACACGTCTGTATATAATTATTAGAGAATCGTATCCCATTCCCCTGGAGTTGACAAAAAAAAAGGTTTGAATGTTGTACAGATTCAGGTTTTTTCTTTCGTTTTGATTGTCCGTAGACCTTAACAGCAGTACCTTTTTATTTCTAACTTAATGAAGACAATGATTTCTTATGTTTTTGAGTAACTTGCACTTGATTAATTAATTACTAAGGTTTTTGTTTCATTTGTTTTTTGTTTGTTTTTGTTTTTTACAAGACACTGCTTCATCTGTTATTGAATGAAGAATGAGAACTTAAAGGAGTCAATGTATCTTGAATAAATATTATATACGGGAGTTGCATGGGTTAATTGTACAAAAAAAAAAAAAAAAAAAGACACTGCTTGCTACTTCTAATACCGTGGCTGTATTCTCTGACAGAGGGGGAAGAATAATTGTATTTACATCTAAAGGTTATTTTGTCAATGAAAGAAGAAGATGATAATAATTATAATAATAGTATTGATTATAATGATGATGATGATGATGATATTAGTTCTATTGTGTATATACTGTACAGTGTTATCAGTGAGGTGGCCCACGTGGACCTCCAGGACAACAGTAAAGGGTGAATTCTACATATTTATTTAAAGGAAGTGGAAACACTCACTACACTCAAGAATGACATATATTGCCTTTTTGGAGAAAGTTGTGGTTTTGTCTCAGAGCTTCTTTCTGGACTTTTCTCTCCGCTGCTCACTCTTTGTTCTTCTCTCTCTTTGTCATCGCCTCAGGTTGGTTTATGTCGTCTGTCCTTCCAGAACTTTCCACCGTCACATCTTTGTTTTGTCCCCTTTGAAGACACTCCGTGTCTTTGAGTCTGGCTCCAACTGTCAGGTTTGTTTCCACGTTTTGGAAACCTGGTGTGGGCCACATTTTTAGCAAGACCTAAATCAAAGCTGGAGCTGTTCTAGCAATGTTGGCACCATCTTGGACACCACACATTGGGCCACAACAATGTGGCCCACAGTGGTTGCCAGATTAAGGCCATTTCTCAGCCATATCTGCTCCTGTAATTTAATGGACCAGACAAATTTTTTTTTTCTAAATGTGGCCCACACTACAGGTATGACACGTGGAACTGACTAATTATTCTGACCCAGACCACAAAAAAACAAACACTCTGAGAAACATAGGCCAGACCAACATGACGTGTCACATGGAATATCTATCATACGGCCTAAACAAAATGATACGGCCAATAAATTAAATGTTTTGGTCAATTTCCACCCAAAACAGGATGATACGGCCAATAAATCTGTTTTGGTCAATTTCCACCCAAAACAGAGTGGCTATTTAGATTTGACTCAGATGTGGCCCATATTCTGGACACCAAATTTATACCTATTTAAGTGAGTCAGAAAGGACAAAATATTTTTATTTAACCCTTTTTTTTTGGCCACATTTTTTCATCTCTTTCCACCTCTGTTTTTTCCTGTTTGTTTTGTTCTTTTTAATTATTCTTTTTGCTCTTGTGCGATGTGGTAGTTGGTTAACTTCCTATTTATCATTATGATTTGGTGCGGTTTTTATTTTATTTTTATCTAATAACCAACATTGTTAATGTTGAAAAATTCTAGCCACTGTTTTTTCTGTATGTGTGTGACTATGTTAATTATTTCTTTTATTTTTTCCTCTGTTTCTTTAATTGATTTTGGTTGATCACCAATTGATAGGAGGTAAGTTGTATGTATGTGTTGCCACTAACTGTGACTGCTCTCCATGGTACATGGTACTTCTGATAAAAACCAATAAAATAAAGTTTGGGATACCGTGTTTCAGAGATGATGAGTGTCTTCTCATCTATGTGTGTGTGTGTGTGGAGGGGTCGAAATATTTAGCTTTTATTTGTGATAGTAAGTGTTATGGTGGCGAGGGAATGATACAGTATGTCAATTTGCAGTGTTTTACAACACACAAAAACAAGCAAGTGTGTGTGACAATCCCATACAAGGGATGCATTTTTGAGTAAAAGATTGAACATCGCAAAGAAATAATAAAGTTTGTTTTAAAGTTCCCATAAATGGAGTCTACTGTATGTAAATGTCAGTCGAGTTCCTTGAAGGCCTTCTCTCCTGCCACAAACAGAATGAGAATCAGTGACTTATTTTTCCAATATATTTATCATTAATATTTATAAGATAATATAGTAGTAGTCTGTTTTCATTATTCATCCTCGTTCTCAGCTTTTCTCTTGGTTTCGCTGCCTGCAGTCACGTTTACTCGATTTATAATCTTTTTTTTTTTTTAAGCCAATCATATTTCCGCCTCAGGTGTTGCCAGGTAAAAGCAAATCTGCCCTAAGGCCTCCAGAATCAGTAGTGAGGGGACGCCGGGAGCAACCAATCAGCATCAAATTGACATATCAAGACCATCTTGCCAACAGTTACGTTGGCGATTTGAGTGATTTGATTGGATGGTCCAAGCACAGACGGTCCTAGCGACTTGCCCGCTCAAAAAGTTTTTTTTTCTGCCTCTGTTGCTTCTGTCGAGCGGACATTTTTTTAGCCTAAAGTTAATTAAAACTTATTCCATCGGTTCGACAGAAAGACTGGACTTTAATCATGGATGTCGAAAAGGAAAAGGACTTGATGTAAGAACGATAATCTGTACAACAGGGCGGATTGAACCTTGAATCTTCGGGAAAGAAAAGAGAGGATGGAGTTTGTGTACAGCTTAATCAGAAGGTTTGGTGAGTAAACTGCGATTTGTCTTCTTAATAATAATAATTGTAATTTTATTATGTTATTATTGTTGCTTTTTGATGTACATTATGTCGAAGCTGTCGTCGAATTTGTGCTCCGTGGTTTTGTGGTTTTAATAATAGCGGCATTATGGTTACAAACGGTGGCTAGGATTTAGCAGCTAGTTATACTAATTTTCTGCATATTAATAACGGTTTTTTTTCGTGACATAATGGCGTCTTTAGGATGTGGATTTGTTTAGGCAGGACGACACTGAAGGCCTAGGTTCTCCACTGGTGAATGTAAACATACTTAAATACTTTCTTTATAAAGTAGACAAGAGTAAATTTGTCAAAAGATAACTAGCTTAGTATTTGGTTAGCCAAAAACCAGCTCTTATGAAATACATTAAATACGTAAAATTGCATTTTAAAAGTTGACAAAACTTGAACTTGTCAAAGTACAAAGTAGAAATAATGTTTGTGTTGGTCCGTTACGGAGCCCGTAAAAAATAAAAATAAAAATTTTCTTCATAATTGGGTTTTATTTACAGATAAGTTAAAATCAGAAAATAATGTTATGGTATTTAAACAAGTACTGAAAAATAACAAATTAAACGACAATGGCTAAAAGAAAATGGTCCAGAATTCATCCCAACAAAGATGTGTTGTTGTTACCCATAAAGCTGGGTTTTCCCTGGTGCTACATTTATTAAGGTGAATAAAATAATCTTTTTAAAATCAACTAAAGTAAATCCTTTTAATCTTGGTCCTAACGTTCTTAACAAACATCCATTTTCTCCCCCAAAAACCGCGGGTGTTTTTTTGGTATAAAGTGACATTTGTCTGAATGGCTGACATTTCATTAAGCGGCTGTTTGTGCCATTGTGTGGCGGTGACACCGCCAGTGGCTGCTGATTAATTGCGTCTGTTCCAAATGTCTGTCTTGTGATGGAGACATTATGTGTTTAACACGTGTATCCACCTCCCCTCTGTCCAACAGCACTCAGGAGAGATACATTATTCATTTGTGCTCAAAGGAAAACCTCAGCAAAGAACATTAAATTAAATGTTTGACTAATGGAGTCGTTAAATCTACTATCTGTTAGGAAGCTGATTCAAACTGTCCTAAGGAGCTCCTCTAAGAGCACTGACGACTCTATCACCGTACGACTCAGACAGAGTATATAATACACAGTTCAGAAACTGGTCTGTTCAAAGGGTCAACTTGTCCGAAGTAGAGGTGTGTGTTGGCAAGAATCTGGCGATTCTACGATACGCATCACGATGTGAGGGCTGTGATACGATATATATTGAATGTACTGCAGTCCTAAAGGCACGATGACATATTGAGGTTTTTTTTTCTTTCCCATATGTATTTGTAGTCCCAGTGTGATCCTGGTCTCAGACTCTGTTCCATCTGAACATCAGTTCCTAACACTGGAACAGAGGGATCTACATTTGGAATCACTAGAGAAGAAAGAAAAGAAAAAGAAAATGAACCAACACCAGGAATATTGGACTGGGAACTGGGGATAAAAAAAATCTAAATTATATAGTAATATATCAGTTTAAATTAAAATTAAATTTTAATTTAAACTGATATTTAATTAAATTAAATATTTCGATATTTCAGTGTTTCGATGTTTCCTTGCAGCAGTAGTCCAAAGGTAGAGTCCTTTTCATGTTGCCCAGATTCTAAAAAACAAGGGAAACAAAACCTCGACTGAAAGGAGTTTTATTCTTTTCTGTCTTGTCACATCTTGGGCTGTACAACAACCTTCATCTGAGTGCACTTGTCATTGGTTCCTTAGTGTCTGTGTTTTGACACATCTCTCCCCGTTGATGCAGATATGATGCCTTTGTCTCTGTCGAACACTGACGTCTCAGATTTAGCTTCTTTTACTAAGCAGAAAGATGAAGAAGGAGGAAGGTGAGGGAGGGAAGTGACTTCATGAAAAAGATAAGGAGTCGGTTTTCACTGCACGTGGGCTGATGGGAAACTTGCCCCACTTCTTATTTACTCTTATTAGTTTTTTGCTGTGTGTAGATTAACTGTTTGAATGAGTTTGTGTTCCTGCATTTTGTTCAATTTCCGTAGCATTTGATTTTCGTCTCGGTTCAAGGTTTGAGTTGGTATTTTTTTTTCCATATGATGTAACAGGTGGAAATGCATTAGGTGCACACGTGTGTTTTCATCAGTGTGTTCTAAATGTCATGTCGGAGCGTATGTTCCACACACATGAAACACGTTAAAATTAAATGTCAGGTAAATACCAGAGCATGAACCGAGGGCAGGCAGAGGTGGAGGACAGACGAGCGGTTCTAACCTCCAGGTTGGAGCACAAGTGCGTCTTTTCTCCCACTTATTCTCCTGCCCCTCCCTTCCTCCCCCCCACGCCCCCTGCCTCCAGTCCCTGCTCCTCCAGACTCTCTCTCCACCCTCCACCTCCATCCACTTGTTTCTTTCTTCTCTGTTGCTCTTTCAGCCCAAATTCTCTCTCTCTTTCTCGTTTGTCTCCAAGCACTTTCTTGGCAGAAGTTGAAAATCAAAGTCACCTCCCTTCAACTGCCTCCCACACACACACACACACACACACACACAGTCAGTCAACAGTAGGTTATTCTGTGTCATTGACTGTTCCCTGATGAGAGGCTGTGGGCGTCGTGATGATGTCAAGTTACTCTGAGGATTTTGGCCTAATGCAGCACCGCTTTCAATGCCAACAGCATTGGCACACACACACACACACACCCAGGTTTTTGCTTCCTGTAAGTACTTCATATAACCATAACGCATGTTCCTGTCCTTCGCTGTAACCTCAACATTACCAAATATGATGCCAATCCTAATCCTTACCCTAGATTTAATCTAGTGTGTGTGTATATATATATATATATATATATATATATATATATGTATGTATGTATGTATATGTGTATATATGTATACATGAGTATATGTGTATATGTATATATGTATGTGTAAATATATGTACAGTATGTATATTTATATATGTATGTATATGTACATATATATAAATTAATTGATATATTTACCTTTTCAACAATCCTATTTCTTCGACAGGCTCTGATGTATTTAGTAAAGCAAACACACTCTCTCTCCCACTCTTCTTCCGCCTGTTTCACACACACACACACACCTATGTTAGCACACCTACCTACATACAGTACAGACATCTACACACACACACACACACACACACACTCGGGTCTGACATTCACACAGAGCCGGCAGCGATGTCACTTGAGAGCTACTTCCTGTGCTGCTCACCCACCTGCTGAATCCACCGCAGCCCACCCAGGGAGAAAAGTGTCCTTTCAACGGTTCCCAGTGAGAAACACTCCACACAAAGTACCAGCCCTCTTGTGAATGTCACTCATTTTGTCCCCTTTTTTTCCATGTTAGTAGGAGTAGGAGGAGGAGTAGGAGGGAGAGGTGGATGTACAGGTGGAGGCCAGAGTGATGTGCTCGTGACCTTTCCACAGCAGAACAGAAACACTGCCATCACTGGTCAAAGTGGATTCTCTTTTTGTTCGTTTGTTTTCTTCGGTTGTGGCTCACATTTACAAACCTATGTCGACTCTTTGAGTGTAGAAGTAAAAAAAAAAATTAGAAGTATCTGTTGTGCTGTTACCATGGTGACCTGCTTTACCATGGTGACAGGTTCTACAGACCTGCTGACGCACGTCGTCAGAAATAATTTAGTTGTAGAGAGAACGTCTAAATGAGTCAAATCAGTATTTTTTTTTCACTCACTCAGGGGATGTGACCAGTGATGTATTCTGTACACCCCCCTTACTCAGAGGATGTGACCAGTGATGTATTCTGTACAGCTGCAGGAGCCGATAGTGTTAGAATGTCAGGGGTTCGATTCCAGGCTGTGGCTTCAGAAGATTAACACATTAATAATGTTAATTATTTTTGTTGGAAAAGGGTTTTAGTTTTCACTGAAGCACCTGGAAAAAGTGCAGGGACAAAGAGAAGTTTATTTGACAGAAATAAATATTTATTGAGGACTGCATGGTGGACGAGGACAAGTGGAAAATCACCAGGTCACTGGTTCGATGCCCAGTCATTTTGAGGTGTTTTCATGTTGGTGGCAGATTTCCACAGTTTCCCACCTGCGTCACTCAGACTGACTCCTCTCCTGTGGCTGTGTCTCTGTGATGCTCAGTTTCAAACTCTCATCTTGTACGTCAACTCCCGCCGTCTCCCCTCCTCTCCCTGTCGCCCCCCTCTGGTCCTGTTCCTCTCTCAGCTCTTGGACGTTTATTCCCAGTGCAGTTCTTCCACCTCTCTCCTCCATACTCACTGGTTGAGAAATTAACTTTTGCAGATTGATGTTTTCGTCCTCAAAATGTTTCTGCAGCTCTGCCACGGGTCCTTTCTCAGAGAAGAAATATTCTAGATATGCCTGGGCGTATTGATCCGAGGTGATCAGGTCCAGGTTGATGTTCGTGGACACGGAGGTGTCATCTGTTCCTGGTACTGTTGTTCTTTTTCCTGTTAAATTCAGATTTTGTTATTGAATTCCACCATTAGATTTACAGGATCATTTTTTTTATATTTGAATAAACGTCTACCTGTCTCTGTCTCCAAGGTGGGACAGAGTCAGTCTCTTTCTTGGTGCACTGTCCGTCACAGTTAGACCTGTCATGGCTCCGTCCTCTGGAATCTCACCGTAGGAATCACGTGACGCTGCGAACCCGCTCCGACATTTCATCACCTGAACCGTGGAGGACTTAAAACTCCTGCATCAGAGAACGAGGTTGGATTAATTCTCCTTTAGCTTCATCAGAGTTATTTTTGTTAACTTTAAGCAATTATTGACTCTTGCTCGATGTCATGTATCTTTTATTCAAACACATTTTTTACTGTTTGGTTTTAATATTTATTATAAGAATGTAGTGAAAGAAAAAGACTGGAGCCTTTACTGTGTTCGGGGAAACAGACCGTTGTCTCACCTGTAAGCAGCTATAATCTCTGACAGGTCTTCCTTGTACTGCTGCAGTGCTTCTCTCGCCACCAGGGGCTCGTCCAGGTGAACTAACATCTGAGTGTGAAACACCGCTCCACTGGCCCAGTGCCTCAGAGACCTGGAGGACCAGAGCACCAAGACACAGTCACCCACCGTGACATTAACCCCCCCCCCCCCCCCCCCCCCCCCCCCCCCAGGTGGGGCAGGTGAAGTGGTGACCACTAGGGGGTTCCAAAGAGTTCCTGCAGGTTGTTTGATTTATAAAACATAAAAACCAGCATTTGTCAGAGTGTTTGGAGCTGACTGACCTGGAGTCACAGTCTCCCCTCAGCATACAGGCCTTCAGCTGGGTGAGGATGAGGCTGATCATGCCCTCCAGTCGGACCGAATCCTCCATCAGCCTCTTTCTCTGACTCAGGTTGATTCTGCAGCGCTTCAGGTACTCCTCCATCACCTCCTGGAGCTCCAACACAATCTGCTGGAGGCCAGGAGTGACACTGTGTTAGGATTACATTTTTATTGAAAAAAAAAAACCCCTCACATTTCCATCCATGTCTCACTGTTTTTTGTTTGTTTGTTTTGTTTTTTTTACTGACAGTCAAAAGTATCGGGTCTGTTTGCCTGATACAATAATTTCTAATTTTATATTTCTAAGAAACAACAACCTTGATGTGACCTTTGACCTGACCTGTTGTTGTTAAATTTCACTCCTAACGGCATCGACTCATTATTTTCTGCAGACGTTTCACCTGACTGGACGACGACGACGACACCTTTCCTTTCGCGCCCGTTGAAGGCCTGGACGATGTGTAAACCATGTCCACCACCAACGTGATCATCAGTCCCACCAGCCCCGCCACCTGTGGCTCATCTGAGAAGGTTGTCAATCGGCCAATCAGATCTTTTATGTAGGAGGGCGCCCTGTTCCCAAGGTCACGCTGCATCTGAGGACGAAAACAAGTTAAAACAGCAAGTCAAGCAGATTCATTTATGTTTTCCTCTCCATAAATTCAAATCATAATCCTGTCATCACAACAAGGTTCTCTGCCGCCTGTGTTTGTATTGACCTGTCACCATTTTATGTGTGCATGTGCTAGGTGCACGTCTCAGGCTTCATCTTCACAGTCTCAAGGCAACAACATTTTTCTTTTCCGTCCAATTTGTCTCCATCTGCAGGTCACGACTGAACCGACTTCAAGGTAAAATCAATGAGCAGAGTCCACTTTTTTTGGTCTGGACCACTTTGTGCTGCTTCTCCATTTTTATTTATTTATTTTTTTCCCTCCAACATAATCACTGATGCACACTGTCACGCTCTGACTTTAAAGTCTGCCGTGCACAGTTATCAAAGCCGTTCTGCCTGCATATTTACACAGCTTCATTTACAAACAGGAAGAAAAAGGCGAGGGAGGAAAGTGTTACAGGGACTGAGGCTGTTAGGATTTCAGGCTGCTTTTCTACGTCCACCAGATCTGACAGCAGCTGAGACCACAAACACTGACAATAAACCACACTTTGATGTGAGGTGTTTTCTTTTTTGTTTGTTTTTAACTCACATCTGAAGTCTTATGTGCAGCTGTGTCGAGGAAAAACGGTGCTGAGTGTCAGGACATATATTTTGACTTTGACCTGTTTCAGTTGTTCCTGAAGGCGGGCTTGAGAATCTGAACTCCCATCCTGATTGGCCGAGAGGAGAGGGTGGACGACCCCGAGGTCAGGAACAGCACCGGCTTCCAACATGGCGTCGTAGAGGATGGAGCCAACGGCGTCCTGAGCCTGAGTGTAGTCTTCATCTGATGAGAACAACTGGCCCATGTTGAGGTTGGCATATATATACGATAGTGTCACGGTGTGAAGTACTTCTGACTTTGAAGTATAATCTGTGAAGGTAAGAAACAGAAAGAAAAATATAATTTAAATAGAAATTATCAGAAAAAAATGTAAACCACTTTCAGCATAAAAACATTCAGCCCAGTCTTTCTCTATATCAAATCTAACATTCTAGTATAAAATGAATTAACTAAAAGCAGTAGTACCCATATCTAACAAATACTTACAAATACTCTGTAAAAGTCTTGATACTGCAGCCTGCAATTTATTTCTCTTCCTGTCTTGTCTCCGCCTCCTGCGCTAAAGAACGAACAAAGACGATACGGTAGCTGAACACAGCTCTGCAGTGAACCTACACCGCCCTCTAGCGGTAGAAAGTATGAACTATAGGTTTTAAATGCCTCGAAGAGCATGACTCATGTTATCAAGGCCAAATAGTCCAATAATAAATATTATTATTGTAGTATTTATCACTTTTATATTGAACAGTGATTTTGGTGAGTGAATTTCTGAGGCAACCCAACCTGGGGTTTGGGGGCCAAGTGGTGAACACCCAGAACCTGTAGCTCTTAGCTTAAACACTATTAAATGTTAATAATTAACTAAAAGCTAAAAAATACTCAATTACCTAAAAAATAGTGGAGAATGTTTTTATATTGTCCAAAAAGTGAACAAGTTTTCCTCACATCTTTCAGGCTTAACCAAAAACTATTTAGAAGTCAGTAAAACCTTGTCAGTAAATGTCTTTTCAAGCATTTTAAGTGCATGATTTTAACGTGGAATAAGTTGAGGAACTCTGATGCTGATGCTACTTGATGTGCTTATGCAGTTTTAGTAAAAACCAGAGGTCCTTGACATGAAGTCAGGCTCCTACAGTAACTGTTAATGAAGTGTCAGACGCTGAATAAATGGGTCAAGGGCTTTCAGTCTTTATTTAGATTAATGGAACAGTAGCCGCGGCCGTGGAGCCATGCTGCAGACTTTTTTTTTAACTCGATATAATATGGGGCGAGGGGCATTAGGGATTTAATGTAGTGTGAGACGTATTGGTTGTTAACTGGGACAAGGTCTCGCTGTGTTTGTGTATGATCCTGGAACAGCTAAGACCTGGAACTACATGTAAATTAAAAGTAAACTACATAGTATAATTTTTTTCAAATAATTTTTTTAAGTGTGTGAACACCATCTGAGTGGTATTCTCTACCTATGGTATGTAAACATATTGTTTACATACCTTTACTTTGCGAGGCGACAGAGCTAACCGCTACCCCACCGTTTAGCCCCGCTGATGATCTACGCTGTCCATCTCTTTTAGTGCTCCCTTGGCTGCAGCACAAATGACTTACAGCACATCTTCAGAATCGTAAGAGACGCAGCACTTTAGCAGATGAGAGGGAACGGGCTGGAGATTAACTGCAGCACAACAAAGAGAGTGAAAAAAAAACTGAAAACTGGCTTTTTTTTTAACAAGAAATGAAATGTGATTCACTCTCACATCCATCACACAGAGGAGCGAACAGATGTATCACATCAGGAGGGCAGTCAAATTTAGGAAATGGGGAATAGCAGCTGGGCTGAGAGTGAATCTGGATAATTCAGTCAAAAAAACAAAACAAGTGGTACTCAAAAAAACAACTACACTGTCTCACAGATTACTCACATATGAAGCCTGTAGCTTTACCCTGTAGGTGGTGCTTTAAACACACTTCTCTGGTGCAATTATTGTTGGTCTGTCATTATTGTTTCGTTAAAATGTTTGCTGGATCCAAAGTGACTAAAGATATTAATAAACCACTGTATGACCTGTTTGGTCACATTGATGATAAGATTGAATAATTTTTCCACGGTCCACCTGGTGACCTCTGACGGCACACTAATGTGCCACGACCCACAGTTTTATTAAAATAAATCAATAAATAAATATCCTGTTTTCTTGTGGCCACTGATGTGACGCTGCACTAACCATTAAGTAATGGAGAGCACACAAGAAAACACACACACACACAGACCTGTCCTCATTTCCTGCCTCCTCCCATATACATCCAACTCCACTCACACCCGCCTGCTGCTCTACTCACTCGGCTTAGTGTTGATTTTGATGGATTCTGTCACTCTGATGCAGCCATGTTTACTGCTGCTGGGAAATGATGTCTCTCTCTCTCTCTCTCTTTTTTTTCTATCCACTGAAGTTAAACACCAGACACTCCTGAGAGAGCAGTAAATATTTAAATGTGCTCACGTCAACAACATATATAGTCATCAAGCATGGAAGTGCCCATACGCTAAAGTGATTTGATTTGATTTTTCTCTCATTTTGTGTTCTGTCTCTCTGTGATAGTGAAGATAAAGAGCAGGAGAAAACGAGGACAAAAAGACCCAGAGAGGAAACGACGAGCTGCGGAGACGGTGGTTAGACGAAGAAGAATTCAAGGGAAGAAATTTGATTTTGTTAAATTGGATTTGATTCACGTTTCACCACCAATATGGTGGTTTAATCACGATTAGTCAGTGATTCCAGCTGTGCTGCTGGAATCATAGTCTTTTAGCAGTAGATTAAAAAAACTAAAGCTGATGTTTTCTGAGACTGTAGTCAAAGCTGCAGCAAAACAAAATCACTGTTTGTCTTGTCCTTTTTTTTTTTTCCAAACAAAGTCACTGTTTGTCTTGTCCTTTTTTCTTTGTTCCATTTCTTTCTTTCTTGTTTTTTTTTTTTTCTTTGTTCCATTTCTTTCCTTCTTGTTTTTTTTTCTCCTCCATCCATTTGTTTTACCATTCGCAGGGAAGCATAAAAACAAGGTAAAGTTCAGTGATTCATCATCACACGGCTGAACTACCAGACGCCATTCATTCTGCGGAGCTGCTGTGTTCACTTAGCTGCACTGGGACTAATTACCGCAAATGGCAGCTGTTGAAAGCAGTATTAATGTCTTCTTTCTACATGAACACCTCCGGCGGTATAGGCCTGCGAGAAGAAGTCCTGGGCTGAACTTTTAAAGCGAACCAGAGTGACAAAGGAAAGACCTACAGCCGGAATTAAGTCTGAAGGCGGCCAGGTAAGGCCCATAAATCCAAGTTAAATTTAATTTAGCTGTCCTCGGATGGAGGGAGTCTAATCATCATTCATCTCACTGCCTCAAGTAACATCAGGGTTTCTTTGTTTTAGTGGCGATTGATCTGAGAGGCTTAAGTCTTAAAACCACCATTTGTTTTTTCCTTTAGAAATAAATAATCTAAGAAAACAACAGCGGTAAATTAACTAAATCATTTTAAATTTCCATACATTAATTCAATAATGACCACAGGGACTGATTTAGCCTTCTGTCTTTGCACATGTAGTAGTCCGAGACGTTATCCTACAGAGACCCCTGCTGGTCAAAATTTGCCATTTAGACAACAATTCTCCAGGACTTTTTTTACGTTATCTTGTTTGTGTTGTGTTTTAAACATAAAATGTGGTTAACTCTAGAAAAAAAAAGTGAATTACAAAGTTATTCCGATTGTGCAATTTTTATATTTGCTAATCGCCAACATAAATGAGAAAGAAGAAGAAGACCTACTTCCGTTTCCGGTGTAAACAAACCGCTCGGTATGGAAAGAGTCGAGACGAAGCAACGCCGAGTGTTTGTTACCAGTTAAATGTTAAATAAAGTGAACGTCAAAGGTATGGAGTCCGGCCGCGTTCGGTACTACTGCACTGCCGGAAATGGAATGGAGCCCTTTGTAATACAGGAAGTGACGAAGAGACTGTCGGCAACAGATGTGAGTGATTTCATGTGAACGTTAAAGCTCAGAAAAATGTATTAATGGTATTAAATATGTATTTAATGTTGATAATGACCGCAGCATTTATACATAATTTAAAAGCGAAACATTTTTGAGTTTAGAAGTGACTACTGATAGTGTTTTTGTCAAAGTTTAAAGAGCATCGACGTGAAAAAAGCTAATAAAATAGTTTTTTTTTAAGTTATAGAAAATTGGTGTAAGAAATAGTCTGATATCTGACTTTAATTCATATGAATAGTGAAGACAGAAACGGACGGATGGATGAACGTGTACATGGATGGTTGAATTGACAGACAGACGGAAAAACAGGTGAAAACAAGTTATTATTGTGATATGAAGTGTGATAATATGTTTGTCCAGGTGTCCCGGATGTCCGGTAAAGTGTTGTTCAGCTCAACTTCACCATTTTACAAAGTTACTGAGCTCAAATCTGCAGAGAGACTTTTCCTTCTGGTAAAACACGACCCTCCGCTGAAACTCTCGTCACATATCAGCCCAGGTAATAATAAGACCATTTATATTTCATTTCTGTGTTCATCCAAATGCATGTTATTTACATAAAATATAACATTTTCACTCAGTATATGGTTTGACTAATATTTGCTCTGACATTCTGACAGCAAAGGTAGCTTCTGTCCTGCAGTCAAAACTGCTGGGAGACCGCAGTCTGTGGACCGAAGCTGTACTGACATGGAGCCGCCTGCAGGGGGAAGTAGCGGAGAGGAAAAGTACTGACAACCAGCAGTGTGTTGGGAGAGGCGTTAGAGAGGAGGAGGACGAGGAGGGGAGAAGGCGTAAAGAACGGATAGATGAGGAGTGGATTGCGGGAGAGGAGGGGGAGAAAAGTGAGAGCAGGAGGATCAGCAGAGGTGAAGAAGGAGAAACTCTGGAACAGAGGAGAAAAAGAGGGATGGTGTTGGAGAAAAGATGTGGAGATGGAGTCGAGGATTGGGGTAAAAAGATGAAGATAGGTGATTTGGATAAGGACAGCACTGTGGAGACTAACATCAATGGTGAAAAGAGTTTTTAATTTATTTTCAACATCACTGTCCATCAAGGCTCTACATTTTTTGATATTTTATTTTTGGTTTTATGGCTGTTTGTTCTCAAGTGAAGACGGCTGACAGAGGAGACCCTCACCTCCAGCTCAGCAGGACCAAAGAAGTCTCCGTGTCTTTCAGGATCAGCTGCAAATGTACTGGACCTGTGTCTCACTACTTCAGCAGTACACAGGTGCAGGAAGTATTTTTCTCTCTAGTATTTCTGATATGTTTATGTTGGCCTGTGAATTGTGAGACTCAGTAATGACACTGTGCTTCTATCACGGGGAGTGATCTGTTTTACTGTAACTTAATTTGAGGAACACTTGAAAGTTGGAGTTTCAGTTTTCTCACTGTGGAACGATGGCATGTTTCCAGGAGGTGGGGAAGGTGATTGGCCTGGGTTTAAGCCGACTGTTGGGCTGGAAGGTTGATCTGAAGAACCCACAGCTGGAGGTAAACGTTTGTTAAAGTCAATTCTGATTCTGAAGTTTTGATACTACAGCTTTAACGCAGCTGTAAAGTCATCTTAATAAATACATTTAAATCCTATCTTTCATATGTGTTTGTGGCTTAAACCTGTTGTGATGTTAAATACTATCTTTCATCTGTGTTTGTGGCTTTGTGTTTGTGGCTTAAACCTGTTGTGATCTTATTATTCTTGGTTCTTTCCCTTTCTGACTTCAGGTTCATGTTTCTATAAGTGAGGACCACTGTCTGCTGGGGATTCCTCTGACTAAGTAAATGAAACTACACCGTTCTCTGTCTATTTCTGTACTATGATATACTACTGATATGAAGATGTCATTTGTTATTGGAACAATTTTCTGTTCTGTTTGAAGCACGGCTAACTCGACCTGTAGTTATGATTCCCATCCTTTGTCCCTCATAATTTGAGCTGCAGTTATGATTCCCATCCTTTGTCCCTCAGGTCACCTTTGGCCAACAGGAGCTACATCAAAACCACAGGACTCAGGTCTACAGTGGCCTGGGTGATGGCTTCACTGGCTCAGATACAGGTAGTTTAAAATAAAAAAGAAATGTCTGAACGGCAGCAGGTCGTGTCTGACAGCTTCATCCAAACATGCATTAATGTCATGACTTCTGTTTGGCAGCCTGGTTCCTGTGTTGTTGACCCCATGTGTGGAGTAGGAACCATCTTGATAGAAGCAGCGCAGGAACATGAGGTCAGACCAGAACGATGGAGAGAATCCAGTTCTAAATCCATCGTTAGTTGTTGCTGTAAGAAGTCATTCATGGTAAATTCATCGTCTCTGATTGGATCTTCAGGAGGTCTGTTTCCTGGGCGTGGACATTGATGATGGACAGCTGCAGAGGGCCAACGGCAACGTAGAGTTTGCAGGTGTGGTTCCCAGGATTCACCTGCTGAAAGCTTCATCCATGAGTAAGAAAACTTTTTTGTCCTTCAGACATTTTTGATAGAAATCTTCTTGCCCGACTTTTGTAGTTTAATAAGGTTAGAACGTCAACAGGTTAATTTAGATAAGACTACAGTGGTGCAGTGGGTTGGACTGCTGCCACCTGAATGATCCAAATCCCAGCTTAGGTTGTGTCATTTTTCTCAGTTACCCAAATTCTTGGTGGGCTTTGTGTCACACGTTGCCATTTTATAAATATGCAGTAGATTAAAAAGTCTCTCATGACTGCACTTGGATTTTTTTTAAATAGCTTTTGGTGAAGAGTCACAGACAGTGTGTAAATCACAGTGGAATCTCCTGTTCTCACTGCATCTGTCTTTGTGTGTGTGTGTGTAGCGCTGCCTCTGCCCAGCTCCAGTGTAGATGCTGTGATCTGTGACCTCCCGTTTGGCAGGAAGTTTGGCTCCAAAGCAAACATGGCTGCCAACCTGCCAGTTATTCTGACTGAGATGGAGAGGTTTGTTCGACAGCGAGCTTCTCCGTTCTTTTTCTAAAAAAGTTCTGTTCTGTCACAACTGTATTTGTTACTTCTTTTTTTTTTTTGCCAAGGATCCTCCGTGTTGGTGGCTCGTTGGTCCTCCTCCTC